GTGGAGAGAGGCACTGTGAGAGTAAAGTGTCTTGCCCAAGAACACAACACAATGTCCCCGGCCAGTGCTCGAACCTGAACCGCTCGATCCGGAGACGAGCGCACTAACCATGAGGCCACCGCGCCTCCCTCTGTGACGTAATACCGTTGTTATAATCTGCGTCACTGACAGCTGCTTGTGTTAAATAAGCTTTATATTTATTTACAAGCTTAAGTACTCCAGAAAATGTAAATAATAGTAACGCAATACCGCCTGGTAAGATAAAATTTGAACCTTACATCATTGTCGTGTTCTACCTTTACACAATCGACCGACAGCTGCCTGCAAACGAGCAATTTTATTTAATTAAACTGTTTTTGTACAAGGTTAATGAACCTTTCAGAACAACAGATAAATTTCCTTATTGGTATAACTATGGTATATTTGTATATTTTGTCCCGATAAAAGCCAAACTTAGCAAATAAAAGACGAATTTTAACTCTTACATGTATGCATACTATATTTTTGGTATCAAGAGGGATTAAAAAAGTAACAGAAGGAACAGTGCGTGTATTAAAGTGACGCTATTTTGGTATAATATTTCATCATCTTCAAACCTCCGGTACGACTGATTGAAAACAACTTGATAATGATATTCAATCTGTCAACCATATCTCTAAAGCTTGGGGTCAAAAGGGCGTGCACAAATTTTTCATTATTTGTTGCCTTGAAAAGCATCGTCTTGCTGTTTCTTTCGGTGAAAATTCATGAAACGTTATGTANAAAAAGTAACAGAAGGAACAGTGCGTGTATTAAAGTGACGGTATAATATTTGATCATCTTCAAACCTCCGGTACGACTGATTGAAAACAACTTGATAATGATATTCAATCTGTCAACCAAATCTCTAAAGCTTAGGGTCAAAAGGGCGTGCACAAATTTTTCATTATTTGTTGCCTTGAAAAGCATCGTCTTGCTGTTTCTTTCGGTGAAAATTCATGAAACGTTATGTAACGGTCCTTCCAAAGACTGTGTATCGAAGGTGGCTACAACCTTCTTTTTCTCCCAACCGGTGAAAAGTTGCTGAAAACAAAGCAAGGAGCTCACGAGTTTTCATCCGATGGTCAAGCAGTGAAGCGAGAAAACGTAATTGTCATGCATAGGGTAACCAGCTATCCCTCTATTGATTTGATTTCAGCAAGATGTTTTACAATTCAATTTTTCACCCATCCATTTGACACCACTTCGAGAGTTTTAACGGTTGATAAATCACTACTTGAATTTCTTATTACTAAAAACTGGCATAAATCCATTTTGTTATTTAGCTGAAAGAAGCTTATGTTGACGTTAAGCAGGAGTGTTGATTGCCTGTCTGGGAGTGAAGGAGACTAAACTAATATTTTCATCGCCAGGGACTTGACTGTGGAATTCAGTTTTGAACTAAAACGATGAACACAATTGAATTTGCCGCTAGCTGTGTGCTGCTGTTAACATTTCTACAGATCAAAGGGAAAGCAGGTACGATCATTTTAGTGAAACTGTTTAATGGTTACAAACATCATACGTGAGCATACAAGCATAACTTAATATTTTCCGCTGCGCCATCAATGCCATTCTAGATTTTGTTCGTTGAATCGCTATATTGAAAGAAAACACTTCGATGTCTAATAGAAAGTTGTTTCTCGAGAACTTTATTATGGCCTCTGTTTTAGAAAGAAGTAACAGATGAAAAGGATTGTGCACCATCATCTTGTCCTCCGTTCCGATCGCGTGTATTATAAAAGCTAATTACTATGAGTGAGGCAATGAGTGAGGCATTGAGTGAGGTTTATAACAACAATTTTGAAACATCGCTCAAGGCCAGATATAACAAATCCATGATTTATTACAGCTCAGATCTTTGTTAATACTTGTGAAATACGGCCATGCATGTTTGATCTTTCCCAAATAGTTCATGACTCTAAAGCTGCGAAAGAATAAGGGGGTCACTCCTGGCTAGGATTTAAAACGGTTAGTTTTAAGCACGATTCAACTGCAAAAATTCGCGTTTCAGTTACGTAGGTGACACCTATAGTAACGTATTGTTTTCTTTCTACAGTTCACCTTAATCGTTTGACGGGGCTGCGAAAAATTGAAAGGAAGAATTAGGCCGCTTTGGTGAATTACCCTTCCTTACGGTTGTTGTTTTTTTCGGGGAAAAGGAACAAATTGAGCGGTTATTCGCATGCTTCAGCATGCACTACGTGACTCATATTGCTTTAATCAGAGAGAGAGAATATGCACTGAAGGTTTATCACAGCAACACAAGCATAACACTTGGACATCACTTCAAACCACTGCAGTTCATTTTATATTATTTAACTTTATTCATTTGAATTTAAGTCTTGTTGAAATATTGAAATGCCAGACTATTCTTTCAGACTGGAAAGATCTCCGGGGCTGATGTTGCTGATCACTTTTCGAAAAGAATGTTTATCTAAAGGGATCAGCCCACATAATCGCTTTTCTTGTCTCAAGCATTGTTTTTGTTGTTGCTTCTTTTATGACTTCACAACTGTTTTCTAACATGTACTGTCTATATAACATAACGGCAAAATCTATTTGTTTCCATGGAAAAAAAAAAACTTAGGTATTATAGAACTGACAGAAATAAACAATGTACCAAACTCTTTGTCTGTAGTGCTGCTTGTAAGTAACTTAGATTTTGGGATTTTGAAGAGGGTCAACTTTGGATCTGACGAAAGGATTTAATACGGTTTACCAAAAGAGTTGTAAAAACAAAACCATGTCAAACTTTGTTTTTCTTCTAGGAAATCCTCGACTGTTCGATTCCGTTGCTCATTACTGGCCATTTGATCGTCATCATGGCATTATGGATATCAAAACCAACATTACTGGAGACAAACATGGCAAAATCGAGAATATTCTCTACAAGGGACCTAGAGATGGCTTTCTTCACACAAACGGTAAGGCCTGGGTCGACCTAGGAAACTTTACCGGCTCTTGTTTGGCCGAACCTGCAAGATGCACAGAAGCACTGACGGTTTTCCTATGGCTGAAATATTCCCCAAATAAACGTCGGAGATATCTGTTGGGCACGTCGAGCCATCTAGCTTTCTCAGAAGGGTTTACAATATATAAAGATTCCGACATAAAAGCTAACAACTCTATTGTGATAAGAGTGAATAACGGGCAAAGAGAATGGACAGGATCACTGACCCTTAAACCGGACATTTGGTCGCACGTGATGTTTACGTGGGATAACAAATTAGGACTTGCGTTATTTCTGAACTGCAATCAGATGGCTCTAGTATCGGACAGCATGCTTAAAACGACCAGAAGAAGCAATCGGTCAAATATTTTGGAACACTATTTGAGTCTTTCCGGAGCACAGATTGCAAAACCAGAGTTGGGCGTTGAGGCATCGTACGACGATCTGACAGTGTTCTATCGCAAGTTGGAATCTCATGAGAGAAACTGGATTTGCCCTAACAAGCTAGGTGAGTGTAAGATATGAAAGAACTAGATTTACAGTGAGGCCTACATGCTGTTATTATGTAAGTACTGTTATGCCTTTGTTCACTATGTTTTTGAAATTATTTCGAGTGCCCACCCACCACGATGACTCAAAACAACAGCCGAAACAGTACCTTTTTCCTATACTTCTCCCTTGTTTCAAGTTTTTTAAGTTCTTAAACAAGTTTACAGAAACGTATTCGGAACTTCACTAACCGCCTAACAGGGAATGTTTAGCTGGCACAAAACGTCCAGGATAGAAAAGAAGAAAAGAGCTAAAAAATATATATATATATATATAAAATATATAAAAATATATATATATATTGTTATGCAAGCTGCTTATTGTTTTTAACAGTTAACAGTTACACAGGGATACTTACCTGTAGAAAGTATTGAAAGGTGCGTGACTGGGCATACACACGAATTAAAATGATGCCAGAGAGTTGGACTTTTGCAGTGCATGTGGCCTTTCAGATTAATTTTTTCTTGCTCTTAACAGGAGGAGATGGATGTAAAACATCAGCTGTGTGATGTTGCTGAACGCCTTGGTTGCTGAATTGTACACCANATATATATATATATATATATATATATATATATATATATATATATATATATATATATATATATATAAAATATAACATTTAACTAAGAGCGAATGAAATTGAATATTATGGATTTGTGGCAACCGTGAACTTGTCATTTTTATTAACAGAGCCACCACAGCTAAACTCCACCTGTAAAGTTTCCATGAGATGGCTGTCAATCAACTGGACTCCGCCCCCGATGACGTATGACATACTGACCGGGTACAATGTGTGGTACTGGGGCGATCCCTTTTCCAATTGGACAAAATTGTCATTAGGAAATGAAAAAACGACATTGAACCTCACTGATCTAGGTGGGTTTATTTTTTGTATACAGTGGTTTGGGTAGCTCACTTTTTGAACATTCAATTCCTTGGAATATCCACTGCTCGTATAGTTTGGTCTGTCTACCTGTGTTTACACTTTATTTACTTGTCGCTTTCATCCCTTGGTCTCATTTTGTTTTGCATGTTAAAGGCAGGGGGATAACTCGGAAACGCAAGTAAATAAAGCATTCTTGTTGTTGTTGTTGTTGGTACATGTTTTAAAAGACTGAGTGATCAGGATCGAGATTTACTCCGAGAATGATCAATATTTTGGTCTCGATTTACCGAGTATGACTGCTCCAACTGCTCAGATCACTCAACATCTTAAAGGGGCTCAGTCATGGCAGTATTTTTAACTACGTACAAATTACCTTTAAATTGAAGGAAACCTGAAATAGTAGTTTAGTAAGATAGAAAAACACCAAAGAGAAATTAATAAACCATAAAGGAACAAGGATGGGTAACTGAAGGATGGAGAAGATTAACATGGATTACAAACAACGAACTTGAAAAACTTAGGCTAAACTTTTCAAGACGCGCAAACCGTCACGTAACTCCTTAAAAGCTACTGAAAACGTTTCTTCACTGAGGTCTAACAGCCACACTGTGCGACCACATTCCACGAGAGTCAGTTTTCGCCCCAGCCACCAGTCCGTTTCCATACCAAACGAAACGTATATAATTTTGCCATCTGTCATTTCCATGTAAGTAAGATAACGTTTCTTTTGCAGATCCGGGCTCGTCGTATAAATTTCGCGTTCAAAATGCTTTCCGCTTCGGTGTTGGAAAATCGAGTCAGATGATTGAATGCAGAACAAAAACTGAAGGTAAACAATCATATTATATTGTTTTATGCAGCAGCGCTGAACATTGTTTCTTGTTAGATATTTCTATTATCACTGACCGAACTTCCACTCGAAATACGTTTTCTAAATTATGGGCTTGGTGTTAGACTCGGTATTAAAGTGGACGTCGTTTTTTCTTTGGTTAGTTTTAGACCCGCCACTCAACTTGACAGTGGAGATGAAATCATTCATCAGTGTCCTACTGAAATGGATTGCACCCCCAAGAAGTCATGAAGATGTCGCGGGATACAAGGTACAGCGTTTGCCTGCCGTCAGCTCTCCCTAGCATTCGTCAAGGGACCCGCCGAAAGGGTCGCCGGTGAGAGTAGAGTAACGAACATGCTTTCTCCCACTGAGACCTCCTTTACTTTTACTAGTAAAATTAAAAATAGCTATGGTGCCAGTTTTCACCCATTCAGTTCGGTGTATGCATTTTCTATGTATAGAGGAAACGCTTGCCTGCAGATTTGCCACTAACTCTTAGTCACTAATTTGCAATTGAAAATACGCAAAATGATTTTAACCAGAAACTGATCACCTAAGCTTCTGCCGATATTTTTAGTGGAATACTGCGTTACTGGAGATTAAAATTGCATGAATTTGAATATTCCAGATTGAGTACAGCATGGCCGATTCTAACGAAAAGCCCATAATAATCAAGGCAGGCCCGATGACATCATTCCTTCTTGAAGGACTACAGAATGATACTACATACAAAGTCCTTGTGACAAGTTATGGCGATAAACGGTTTTTTGACAGCGCTCCTGTGGTGACAACCGTTACGACGGATGATAATGGTAAGGAATTAGTAGGAGAATTCAGAAAGTAGCGAGAACATCAACTTTCGCAAGACTGCTGCTATCGGATAATTACAATTTATAACTTCTGAGGATAAGTCCTGATACAAGAATATCAAAACTTCGAGAAGAATAACCCGACAAACAGTTTACTTAAGCTCAATGCTATCCCGCATAGCAGTCATTAAAGCAAATTGAGGAAGGTTGTAAGGGTTGCGCGCGTGAGTCTCGCAAACGCGCGCAAACTTGTGACTTGTTTGACTACTTTCCAAATGAGATAAATGAACCTGTCTCGTGCAGTTTTTCTTCGGTTTTGCTTCTTTTAATTTTTCTTGTTATATTCTCGTGTTTAACTACTGATCGAGAGGCGCAGGGGCCTCATGGTTAGTACGGTTGACTTGGGATCGACCAGTCCGGGTTTGAGTCCTGGCCAGAAACAGTGTTGTGTTCTTAGGCAAGGCACTTTACCCTCACAGTTCCTCTCCACGTCCAGGTGTATAAATGAATACTAGCAAATTTAATGCTGGGGGTAACCCTGCAATGGACTAGCATCCCATCCAGGGGGGAGTAGAAATATTCCTAGTTGCTTGATGCCACAGAAACCGGAGATAAGCGCCGGCCTGATGGGCCACTTTGCTCGTATGCAGACTTCACCCGGCTTAACAGCTGATCATAGCTTGAACTGATACACTTTGTTTCGATGTTTAATACTACAGACAAGTCCACAGTCAAGGAAACGTCGCTACAAGTGACAGGACCCGAGACCTTACGAATCAAATGGAAAAAGCCTCGTGAAAAATACAAGGTGTTTTCCTATCGAGTGTTTGTTAAATGGAACGATACTGGGATAGAGAACATGCTTGAGGTGTATGATGGAAATGCAACGTCTTGTGTTTATTCTATAAAGCGTTTTGCAGAAACATTTCGTGTCATGGCGTATGTGGTGCGACAAATTCCTCTCATTCCGATCGTTGGTAAGTATAACTATGTTCAGTTTAGAGCGCAGTCTGTAATTATGATTTCATTCTATTTATCCCCTTCTTTAGTAAAGAGATGTCTCTTGCAGTTACTGTAATTTGCCGACCTCGTGTCCAATGCGTTTCCTCTAGAAATTGGGAGGGGGGAGGTGGGAGGGAAAAGACAAGGAAACGAGGTTGGTAATGTACGCAATCCAAACAACTTATTTGAGTTGTCGAAGGACATACACTAGATTTATTTATGAAGCCAAATTACCCTAGTGTGAGCGACGTCAGTGATCTTCCAACTTAAGAGATTTTCCTGTCCTTTTCACGCACGGACTTATAACATAAATAGTCACAACCGGCTATCCGATGTCATCCACTCCAACCAGTACTATTTATTTTTAACGATTACCTTCTCTTTTTCATTGTTATATCTAGACCCTCCGATTAATGTAACCATGGTATCCTTCGGCTGGTCTTTCGCTGTTCTAAACTGGACTTCACCGTTTCACAGCAGAGCTATCGACTTCGCTGATTTGTATCGAGTGATCGCCAGATCAAGCGAAGGAGAAGTCACTATCACAACCACTCAGACGCATGCTCGCATTGATGGCCTGAAACAGCTGACCAACTATTCACTGAATGCGCAGGCTTGGAACGGACTTGGCTACGGTCCATTTCTGGTCACTGGCATTCCCTTCAGAACGCCAGGTAAATAAAAAGCAGTGTCAGTAACGTCGACTCTTCTATGGTCTTAAAATGCGATTTAATCATCACTAGTATCACTAGAATTGGGGCTTTGGCAACAGCTGTGGAGGTCCTTTGTTGCTTCCCTGTGTGCTAGTGGGCATGACGGCCAGTGAGTGAGAGACTGTCCCTCATGAAGCTGGATACATATAATATAAGTACTTTAAGTTCAAGCGTTCAAGAGAGAAACCTATATATCAACTCTTGGATTAATTTGTTATTCCATCCCGTCAGATCATGACGAGTGCGCAGATAATTCTCATATGTGTCACGTGAATGCAGTTTGTACCAATACCGAAGGCTCATACAAGTGTGAGTGCGAACTGGGATACATAGGAGATGGGAGAAACTGCGAAGGTGAGTTGGATTACAGTCGGTGTAAAGTTAGCCAGCAATGGGTTAACCGTTAGCCGTAAATAGGGCCAAAAGTTCAGCCATTAGGTGTAAAAATTGGAAAATTGTAACCATGAGCCGTAAACAATATTAACCGTAAAACTAGTGCACGTAGGCCTTGGCGAATTGTGCTCCGAAAAGTGGCATATTATGCTACTAGCAGTGCTCGAAATTTGCCAAATTATGCCAAAATTATGCCAGAATTCCCAAATTATGCTCCTGATTTCCGAAATTATGCTCACAAAATGACGTATATTCTATACATATAGGCGCGCAATAACGACACCAAATTATGATGTTTTTCAAATAAACTGTTGTTGTAAATTTATTTGTGTTTTATGGCAGTTTGTCTCGGCCCTCAGCTGTCCAAATTAGCTGCTCGCATCTCTGAACCGTTTGTAAAATGCCTTCAACGACTTAACGATTACACTTGTATATACTAATTGAACCAAAAGAATATAGTACTCTCTTGAGTTAAACTAACTCAAACTATAGCGAACTATAACGTTGAAAGTATCAAGTCACGAAGTAAATCAACTTGTCTTGACAGTTCTGAGTTCTCTTTCAGCACCAATAATTGCTTGAAAAAACATGGATAAGAGTAGTATACACAAGTGAACATCAGAGCTTATTGTACTGCAACATGCATCACGCTGGCCAGGAGATAGTCTGCAAGAGCGCTGTCCTGCTGATCGCTAAATTCGCCAGAATTCGCCAAAAGAGGCCTAGTAACTAAGCATGTCAGAACAAAGTCAATACTACTATTAGCGTAGCTAAAACACGCATTGCAATAACATACTACCCAAATTTAATTTATGAAGAGAATACACCATATTTACTAAATTTTATGAATTTATGCTCCAAAAAGTGCTAAAATTTGCTAATTATGCCGTGGCAGTGCTCGTTTAAAAAAATATGCTTTTTTGCTCCAATTATGCCAAAAATTATGCTAGCACAATCCACCAAGGCCTAACTGCACGTCTAAAATCAATCTAGGAAATTAAGACAAAATCCGATAGGAAATCTAGCAATTTTAGTTTTTAGTTTATAAAAACCTTGTACCAGAATAATGTTAAGTACATTACAGTCCTTTTTACATTTTCCAAAAGCTAAAGATGTAAATAGTTTCCTCAAATAACATCGAAATTAATTTCCCATGGAAACTTGACAAAAAACATTTCAAAGTCCAGAGAAATTGTGTAAACAGACGGTCTAAACACAGGTAAAATTTCATCATTAGTTTCACTTTACCATGCAGTTATTTCAAGTGTTTCATATGAACTTCAAAATTTTTTCTGGACATTTGGTGTTGATAGAAATAATGTCTTTTGAGAAGATTTTTAAAACAGTCGCACCAAAGTTTGCAATACGATGTAAATAATGTCGGTACAAAGATTTTGTCCACTTGTTACTCAAACTTCTGGTGGATTCCTTCTTAAGCTAGTGATGGTAAGATATTCTTTCTTTGTCACTTTTAAGTACAGCTCATTAGCAAGAAAGGACAAGACTCGTATCGTAGAGTATAAAATTTAAGGGTAATTTATCGGCTATTAGTAATCGAGAAAATTCTTCAATTTCTTATAGAAATTCCGGATGGACTGAGCGATGAAGACTTTTGCCCTGAAGCAAATTTCGCAGGCATAGAATGGAGGAAAACCTTGGTCAACCGCAAAGACGAGACGGCTTGCCCTGAAGAAACTGTCGGTAATTCAAAATTTTTTTCTTGCTGAAATATGTAACGTGTATATACATAATACCAGAAGTCCCTCGCGAGTTTCTGATAATGCCTAATGTTTGGCACGACTCGCTTGTTACTTCAATCATTTTTCTTAACTTCCTAGGGGTGGCCTCGAGGCAATGTACTGGAAGTCCCGCGGACTGGGAACTACCTGATCTTGGCGATTGCGTCTCAAAATGGATGTCAGACCTCAGCAATCAGGTAATAATTGACGTCATTCCAAATGCTTTTGTTCAAGAAATATTATCGGCTTCTTCTTTTGTTTTGTTTGCTTGTTTTTTGTCCGACGAGAAAACGGCCAGAACAAAATAAGGTCGTTTGTTTTAAACTTATTCAAACTGATAGAAGCGAACATTTTTTGGTAAACTTCTTGATCACCATCGAGGGCTGTTAAGGCAAATGTTGTGTACGTTTTTTATTTCATTTCTTCGGACTTCGACGATAAAGAACTCTGTATTGACCCTTTTGTTACTTAAATGAGGGACGTTAACGAAAGTTATTTTATTTATTTCAGCTAAACAATCCAAACGTCAGTGTATCGTTAGTAGCCAATCAGCTTGTAGGACTGACTGATGTCAAGTCTGGCAAACCGTTATATCCTGGAGATCTGAAATTACTGGTCGATGTTATTGGCGTGTTATCGCAAAGGGGGCTTGGAGCTAGTAAAAACGAAAGCTCGGACGCCTCGTCGACATTTGTAAAGGTTAGCAGTGATGGTGTCACAGAGGTTTTTCCAAACTTTTTTGGGACTGATTAGGCAACTCTGAACTCAAAGTTCATCACACGTTCTAACAGTTATAAAATCGCTGGTCGTAAGCCCCGGCCAAACGATCGCAACAATTCGACGCAACGTTGTTGGGCGTAACATGTTGCGTGCGTTTGGCCACTCTGTTCCGACACGTTGGGTGTTGAAAATCGAACTAGTGCCCATGCCCCGGCGTAAAATTGTTGCACGAATCTGGCCAAACGAGTACAGCATCATGCAACATCCACAAATGCTGCATGAAAAATGTGACAATTTTCAAACTTGAGCCAACAACACCCAACATGTCGCAACAAATCGCAACATGTCCCAACAGGGTGTTCAAACGTGCGCAAGATGTTGCGCCCAAGAATGTTGCGATATGTTCCGTTACAATGTTGCGATCGTTTGGCCAGGGCTTTAAACTTTGTCTGGAACAATTAACTATAGCAGCCATCTTAAATTTTTTGCATGATTTTTAAGCGCGCGTGCTCCTATTTACTACGTATTTCGTATTAACTGAGTTATTTTTTCCTCAGGCTGTTGTTGGCACTGCGAGCAATATTTTGGACAAGAAGAACTTGCAGTCGTGGAAATACATGCCAAAGGTAAAATGAATTATAATTATAATCACTTTTATGTTAGCTGAGAACTTTACAACTGATTCTAAATTTAGTAATTTTCTCCACAAATTGTGGTCGTTCGAAAAATTTCCAGTGAATAGGAGATGACAAAATGAGAGGGTAAGATATTGCTCATTAAAACTTTCATTCCCTTTGTTACTTAGCAAACGAAAATCTGAATTGTGCTACCTGATTCAAAACAACCTTAGAGCATCACAGAAAGTCAGCGTTACAAAGTTTCCCTTTTTCGTGCTCTCTTAAATAAGTGGTATTATTAAAGTTCTTGAGTGATAAATTCTAAACGTGCACAGCTTTGACTTAACAAATACCCTGTTTCTTCATCTGTAGGATTCCCAGACAAAGAAAGCGAGTTCCCTTATTGATAGCCTTGATGTGGTAGCTTTGGACATGGCAAATTCATCGCAGAGTAATTCAACCGAAATGGATAATGTCGGTAGGTAGAATTAGCCGGTATTACATGTAATAATTACACAAATTAGCAATTCAAAAAATTCACTGATTCTTAATCGAGACATTATCTCTCACGGCGCCAGTCCAGGAGAACGCCATGCATGGTCCTGTCCTAGAACTAATCTTGCCGAGCCACTAGAATAAAAAGACATTATACATTCACTCATAGTTTTGAGAGGAACTATATTTTTATTATTTTACATCCTATAGTGATGAGTGTGAAGTCTCTGGAAAATGTCAGAAGTGAAAAAGACCTCCTTATCTCACAGCAAGATGAACGTCGACAGACGCTGATGAACGCAGTTTCTTTTCCAGCGTCTGTGTTGAGGGGAGATTCTTCCACCGGTAAGATATTAAGTGCTTAGCCGAGTACTCTATTGTTTAATTCTTTTTTATAACCAAACGTTATAAGCTGATTTAACGATCTCTCCCAAACTCATTAATAGTTCATCAAATTGAAACAAAGGAAATCATGACCGTGACGGTATTTGGATATCTTATCTTAATTAGCATAGACTTTTACGATTTTATTTCTCCGTTTTCTCCTAAGTTTTGGTTTCAATTGAGAAGATATATCAAATACTCAAGACAGTGTTCGACCACATTTCCAGTTCGTCAAAAATACTCGTGTTTTTTCGTGTTTGATATATTACTTTAATTGTAGTCATATTTTAACTTTGAGAGCGAATAAAATCGTATAAAATTAAACGTTTAGTAAGAAAAATGTCACGAAATGCAAGAGGTATAACTCAACTCAACCACACCCTTGCCGGCTATCTGCAATAAATGGATAAACTGTCTTCAATGGTTGGGTTGACTAACGGCACAAACATCGATTGATTCTGTCTTCATGAATTGTTGGCCTTCACTTTATCTCTTAGAGTCACTAGAAAAGAAAACAGATGAGTTCGATTCTGCATGAAAGGCAGAAAGATCAATGTGTAGTAACCCTATGAAAAAGAACAAATAGCTTTACAGGAAAACTAATCTGATCTGTCGCTTTACCTTGTTTTAGCCTTAGAGAGAGAGGACAATGTGACGTAAAGTCTTTTTGGTCGCTTCCTCATCTTAGGTTTACCAGTACCAGTACTCATACTCAATTCAATCAATTCATTTTACAGCTTCCAAACCTAATTTTGCCACCCTTGTTTCATACAAAACTCTTGGATCTCTGCTGACTCCTAGAGGAGAGAAAAGGTGAACTTACTTATCTAGCTCAAACTATACTACGTTTAGTTGGATTCTTGCAATGTCAGCTCTGAGGTGAACCTCATTGCACCACTTTTTAGCATACGTTTGATCTCATACGAGACAGACATTAAGTTTAAGGTTCCTTGTCCAGCACAGTAAAAGAACACTGCTCAATTCTCCATAATCCAATTCCCTGTAATTCACTCTGTTTGCCCCTCAAATTTTGCTTAAACTACTGTATAACTATCCATCATTTAAAATAATAGTTTATGGAAAATTTGAGGGGCAAACAGAGTGAATTATGAAAAACCGGAAAATAAAGAATTGCAATTGCCGAATGACGAGTACACACTAGGTTTTCGACCATAGACTAAAAGTTAGAACCACCCTGTACAGCATAATAGTGCCAAAAGACAGTACTTCTTAGCAGTTTTTCCATAATTTGTAGGAAAGAGAATGACCACCGGACCATGGAACACCCATCAATAAATTCAGCCATCTTGTCCGTTAATCTTCGTCCACTTACAAAGAAAATATTCAAGGATCCCGTAGTTATAACATTGCGCCATTCTGTGGTAAGTACACTCCTCTCAAAAACGCCTAGGCCACCTATGTCTGCTTTATTCTCTTTAGCTTTCTGCGACGCAAGCGTCAATTTTTAAAATTCTCCAGATTCAATTCACTGCGTATTTGAAAGCTTCATTAAACTTTAGTTCAGAACGTTTCGTAGTACATCAACGGTTATCTATTAAGCTTCCCTTCTCGGCGTACTTTTGTGCCAGCTTCAAAGTTGTCTCCCTCCTGCCGTCAAGTTATGCTTGAAACGACTAAAATGTAACTAACGCAATGGTGGGTGGACAGGATTTATAGAATTATTTTGATGTCTCGGATGCGGTAATTTGACGGTAAATGACACTCAGAACTGACTTGAATAGCGAATTTTCAAATGACTTGTTTCAATCGTGTAGTCAGTTTTGCCGCTGTTTAACGCTGTAGGTGATTTTTTAAGTCTTTCAGTAACATTTTATTTCTCTGGGACAGTTAACGGCTATGCGACTGTTACGACTTAGGTAATATTTATTTGTTCCTTGATTCCAGGACAGCGAAGGTAGAAAGAATAAACCATCATGCGTGTTCTTGGAGACAGACAAGTAAGAAACTTGATCTAAATTTTGTCAGTAGATCGACCTTAGAATGCTTCTCTTGTAGTTACTAGCCGTGCTTGGCTTTTGTATAAGTTTTAAAATTGTAATAGACATTACGTAATAAGCTCGGCATAATAAAATGAATCACTTTACCTCACTGAGTTAATTTGAATACGGATACGAACACCGTCAATATTGTTTTGATCGGTGAAGGTTTTCTGTCCTCGTTAATCAAGCGCGCTCTAAAAGATCACTCACTCCCGGGGGGAACTCCCTTATAAAAAGGAGGGGGGTACTCGTCGTACCTTTTCCGGGTTAAAAACCGGTTTTGTTGCCTCTTAGGGTGTTCCGCTCAAAAGGTCCACAGCGGGAGTTTATACGGTACCTTTTAGGGTATTGAGCCGAAAACAAATGACGGGAGATGATGTTTTGTTTTAGAAGAGCGAAAAAAATTCCAAGCCACGCCCACAGAGCAGGGTCTTGATACCTCTTAGGGAGTCTTTTCAAAATTTCCGACGACCAACCCTCAAGATCTGCGGACTTGTCTCCAGTTTGATTTTTGGATTGTTTACTTCTCGGACGCAATATGTACACCAGAATACACTCCAATAACACAAGAAACACAAATAGAAAGGGGACGATCNCCCCCCCCCCGTCACTCACTCTCACTCATCCCCATTGTCCAGGCTGCAACATGAGATCATAAGGCTCAAGATGACCGACTAACATTTTTATCATGATCATTTCATTGTTTCTTTATTTATTTGTCGATTTATTAATTTGTTTATTTACTGTTTAAAGAAATATAAGCTGGTCTGAGGCTGGATGCGAAGTGAGTTCAACAAACACTACTCACACTGTTTGTCACTGCTATCATCTCACAAGCTTTGCTGTTTTAATGAGCGTTAAACAGGACGTGTCTGCTTTATCAGTGAGTATATTTACTGTTATTACTGTGCCATAGTATGTGATCAAAAGCATGTAAGGCCGCCAGTATAAAGAGAGCAGGAAATAAATAGCTCTATAGTTGCTCTTAACCGTACCTTGTCCCATTTGAATCCTTCAGGGATTAAGCAGCATTCATACATTTTTCCCAGGACAATTGTTCGCGCTACATGTTCCTTTTTCTGATCTCCCCATTAGCCTTATGAGACAATTAACGTAAAATCATAACTCCTTGGTGAGATGCTAACTTAGTCGTTTCTTCAAGTTTAAATTCGCCGGATTCTTTTGACCTTCCACCTATGGTTGAAGCTGAATTTTCATTCGTGAATACTTTCCTACACTATGTCTTTAATTTCCTGTCTCTTTTTGTCTTTGTTTTTGCAGGAGGAGCATCAGCGGGCTTTAACTCTCATCACCTATGTCGGAGTGAGCATATCTGTTGTAGCTTTGTGCCTAGCCTTCCTCACATTTTACTTCTTTAGGTAAGACATACAGTGGCAAAGGATCGGGGTGTGTAGCTGATGCGACATTTAAGAGACTCAGAAGAGTTGCGAGTGCGTTTTGTGATTGAAAACTATAACAGTGTGATAAATGTTACAGGTTCTCCAAATCTGCCCGTACTTTTATCCATAAGAACTTGTCACTGGCACTAATCTTCGCCCAGCTGCTGTTTATGTTTGGTGTCAACAAAACATCGAACAAGGTATGTTCCGTTGTTTTCACGACGATAATTCTTAAAACCATTGTTTTAGCACCGAAGCGTAGTGTTCCTGTCTTTGCTCAGCTAACATCAAGTCAAAGCCGCCAATAGTCGTGAACCAAGTGCTTCCACTTGTCTCAAAACGCAGCGGAACAGTTTGATCTTCCTTAAGTTGTATAAAGTTTAGTCGTCGCCATGTAGGCAGAAATTAGCAAACGCCTATCAGAGTCCAACACGTTCAAATACTAATTCGATCTGGGATCCGGGAATCACAGGTTTGTCTATCAGACCCCGGCTTTTAAAACAAGAATGGCGGCTACTTGACCATCTTACCTTTACAGCACATCTTGCACACCTTCAATATTAATCGATTAGCACGCCTTGCAGACCTTTATTACCAGGCGCTTGGAACGCATTGCAGACTTTTGACACCAAGTACTTACCTATGACCTCTATTCTTATTCATTGCAGTTGGTGTGTAAAGGAATAGCCATAGCCCTTCATTATTTCTTCCTGGTCGCGTTTGCGTGGATGGCGCTTGAGGGAGTCATGCTCTATCTGATGCTCGTGAAAGTTTTCCACACTAAAACTGCACCAACAAAAAGCAAGAAGATTTTCTTTTGCCTCGGATGGGGTGAGTTTGATCTGAGTTGTTAACTTCCTTTGCTTTTTTGTAACGTGCCATTGAACATTATTTACTGTCAGAAAAAAGTGATCTACAACTTTCTTTCAATCTCATGTAGGTATACCTGTCCTAATAGTTGTAGTTTCTGGAGTATTGTTCCATGAAGGATACGGCACGTCTGCTTTGTAAGTAATACTGATTAGTTAATGTAAAGATGTCGAATAACGAACATATGAAACAGGCAATGACGCAGTCAAGAGTATTTTGCCACAATGCAGAACAGTATGCATGGCTATTGAGTCTCTCTGTATTAGGACATAGTCACCTCTACGAAAAAGATGACTGATATGTGAACAAAACTCAGTTATCGCTGATGTAAGCTGACATTGACAACTTTCATTGCCACCAACTCAACCTCGTTCCAGGGACCCTGGGAACGAAGTTAGACCCTAGGAACGAGGCTGCTACCAACTGACTAACACATGCGGCTCATATACGCATTGCGGGCCCAAAATGACCTTGGACATCATTTTCTTTATTTCTGTAGTTGTTGGCTTTCTCTTGAGCGTGGCTTCATCTGGTCGTTTGTTGGACCAGTTTTACTGGTGCTTGCGGTGAGTTAATAGTCTGAAAATTGACGTTTTTCTTAGATAAAGCCGAAGCCTACGGCCATGTATTAAACTCTCATAAAACACGATAGGAATTTGGAAAGACGAGTGAAATACTTTCTAAATTTCTTAAGAGTTTTTAAATCCCCGGAGTGTTTTAAGACAGTAAAAGTCTTTTAACGGATTGAAGATTTTATATTGTTCAGCCGTGTAATTTATCTTTAATCTTACATTTTCCTGAAAATCATGAAACAAACTCCAATGAGGGCACGCACGTACAGTATCAAATTTTATGATAATAATGGTTAGGTGAAATGTTGCGATGCTAGGTAGCACGTAACGAAACGTAATTGCGGGTCTCCACCTTATCGGAATTGCTTTATTTCAACTCATATACTTAACAAGAAACCCTGAGAACGTGCGATTAAAAATTGATATTAAAACTAATATTAATAATTATATATGTAAAATTGTGTCTTTTTCACAAGGGTGCGCATAAATTGCTTTGCTTTTAATTAAATCGCTTTTTTTCCCTTCGCAGTTTAATTTCATCTGTCTAGGGATCACATTCAACGTCATGGCTAAGTCAGGTCCAACTAGTAACAAGAAAAGAACAGGCAGAATACGGTATGAAAGCCTAAATGACACCAAATAATTAGTACCCATACTTAAGCAGTAAGACTGATTGAAAACTACTACCAAACCATCAGAAGAACAGTTCGCGTAAATTTGATAAAATGAGCTGAGAACGTTTTCATTTTTTTTTTTTAATCTCGTTTTCAATAATTAATGAAAAGGCCCTAAACGATTACACTGACCATCGATTAATTGGGTAGGTAAATAAATATCGTTCCGAGAATTACTTAGGTTTTGAGGTGACTGGCGATAGTTAAATCCTGTTAATTCTAAGCTCAAAACAAGGGATTTCTTCATAAATAACTTTTGATGGCAGTTTTTAAAAGTTCGGTTGAACATAGTTTCTATAAATGCTTGTTACTTCTAAATTAGTCCACTGGGGAAAGCTAGGGAATCGTGAAATGTTCTCAACAAGACCTCGTCAAATACCTTTATATTTGTTATTTTTTAGACGCTGGTCAAAAGCCTGTATGCTGTTAACATGTATTCTTGGCCTTACTTGGCTGTTTGGTGTGTTCTATATCAATCAAGATTCGCTCTTTATGGCGTACTGTTTCACCATCTTTAATACTCTCCAGGTAAATCACTATCAACTACTATTTATCGTTCTTCAGTCGCTATCAACGTCCAATTGCCAAGTTGTTCTTTCAAGTCGAAAACTGTGCAACCAAGCGAAACGCCAAGTCTGTTTGACTAAAACATTCCACACTGAAATGAAGGCATCTTTCTCTGATTTTTTTTTTTTTTCAGGGTTTATTTATATTTTTATTTCACTGCATTGGAGACGAGAAGGTGAGTATCAAGTTGGCTTAGTTTCGACTGTTTTTGTCTTCTTTGTCAACATTCCAATATTAATATTAAGGATGACCTGTCACCCGATCGGTCCGTCCGTCGGACCGACCGTCCGTCAGGCAGGCAGGCAGGCAGGCAGGCAGGCAGGTAGGCAGCCCGGGAGGTACTCCCAGAAAAGTTGGGTGGGGGTGTGCGGCCCACTTCCCAAAACACTTACTCTATTTATGACCAAAATCTGCGATTTTTGCTACCCCTTTGATAACCTGACCAAATATTCGATATCCTATTTATGATCGTTGCGGCTGGCACAGTTGCCCTAAGAGCTATGAAGCTATGAAGGGCTTTTGTTGATGGGCTTATCGATAATGATGATAAAGTAGCTGCTTCTAAAAAACATACCCAATTCAAGACTGGAGTGCAAAAACCATACCTATTTGTGATCAAAACGGCCAAAATCGATAACCTATTTATGAAAAAAACCATACCCTTTGGGGCCGCACACACCTCTATAGCCCATATAAGGAAGTACCCCCCAACTACATTCCCCCCTCCCTCCTGGGGACAGGCAGGCAGGCATTTCGTCAGTCTGGCAGTCAATCAGTAACACCTTAATGTAGTTACCATTCAGTCAGTCAAGCAATCAGTTATTCAGCCGGTCAACCAACCAGCCCGGTCGATCGCTCAGTCAGTGACTCGCATAACTCTTTATCTGTCATACATTTACTTTCAATAGTCGTTTGATGTTTCCAGTAGGTAATTTGCTATAAATAGTGTTGTTAATCAGTTTACACTCGTTCCATTCATTCTAGGCGCATTTGATCATATTCACATGTTAATTTGCGCCTTAGAAATATTAAATATTATTTTTATTATTATTATTATTATTCATAGGTTCGTCGCGAATATTCTCGAGTGTTATGCTGTCGCGAGGAGGACAAGCGCTTCTTGCTAACGAAACCTTCGAACTCTGAAACCAGCAAATCAGAATCGAGATCGAGAAGCCATATCGACAATTTCAAGAACAAGAACCAAACAATAAGTAGTTCAGTAGATTCTATAGTAAGTAACGATAAGTTGCCACGGATGCCCCTTATAGGAACAAAGTCTTTTGAATTCTGCACGTGATGGCTCGTACCAACGTAACAAAATCCAGTTTCTTTCATGCAAGAATAACACCAGTAACCATACACAGTTCGATAATTACGTACAGGAGAGGCTCCCTTGAATTGACACTGGTGAAAAATGTCCTTCAATGCCACAGGGTGTGGTATCGTTGAATTTTCGGTTATCATTACTTTCTCTCGAGTTGTGCTGATCGTAATAACTAGCCTTTATTTCTAGACGTTTTGTACGTTCGGTCTTAACAAACTCTGAATTAACTAACTGGAACGTGGAGAAGTAGCGGGCACACAAATCGAATTTCTGTCTCAGTCAGCGATCTGTCTGTCAGCCTGTCAGTGTGTCGGTTTGTTTATTTTATTACATTTTACTTTTTTAGGGGACAATAGAGAGCAAAAGAAACACGTTTGTGGTGCATGTATCAGGTATGTTGCTGCTTTTAAATTTACGGTTTGCCAAGAAACTGTTTCCTCTGGCGTGATTCTGAATTATAATGTTCTTTCCGAGCATAGTCTCCCGTGAGCATATTAACAGTATGTACGAAGAAGGGAAGTTTTAAAATGAACTTCACATAATTACTTTTCAGATGGTCAAGTGCGCGTGCGTGGAGTTGCTACAGATGAGTACAACAGAAACCTAGTAAGAAATCGCCTGCAAAGTGGAGAGAGTGTTTCTAGTTTTGAGCAGCCCCCAGGAGAGGTAAAACACATTCTAATCAAGTATAATTTTGAACTCAGATCTCCCAGCGGTATTGACATACTTATACGTACGACAAAACTCCAACACTGGCACATGCAATGATATATGGCGCTGAGCAAAAAAATGCTTTCAATTTTTTATACGTAATCATGACTGTGCTATGTCTGTTTTCGTCTCTTTCAGCAGCATCGTGATGGCAGCAGGCATTCTACAGCATCTGTAGCCAGTGAGGAATCCGAAAATGAGCAGAGCAATGAAGTCAATGAACAAGACACGCTAGCTGGAGAGAATTAGAACTACACTGATCTGTCTGTATCTCTGCACACTGCTCAGGGCGTTCGCTTATCACGCGTGAGCCGCGCGTGGGACCCCGTGGTAGTCGCGCGCTTTAGTGTGGTTTGATGAGATGCACATACACGCACTGGCAATTATCAGTCGCTTGGTGCAGACACTCTCAAATACAAGATATAAATTTTGTTAAAACAGATAGGACTTTCTCCATGCAATATAAAAGCTGCGAAGCAAACGGACATGGTTTAACCGAATCTGATTTGCTAAGGTGCACACCCGGAGATAACCTTTCTTTACCTGAATTCTAAAATCGCGAGTGACTTGTACAGAATGCAAATTTCAGTTACAATCAAAATAGAGACCAGCATTAAAAGTAAATATTGAAGACTAAGTTAACGGATATGTTAAGTACAGTTAGACCGACTAATTCGAACTCGATTATTTTGAATTCCCCATTATTTCGAAATCAAAACGCTTTCCTTTGAATTAACCTGCGAACAAGTGTTCTTTTAGGTTCGATTTCCGCCGCTCTCTCTTGTCTGGTCTACGTTGCTTCTTTCTCGAACAGCGGCTGGTAATCGAGCCTAATGTTCTTTTTCGAACTATGTTTCGTCAGCCCCGAGAGTTCAAAACAGCGGGATTCAACTGTTATTGGTTTGGTAAGTTAGAAAAACAAAAATGGAGAGTTGTGAAGGATTGGGGAACTACTAACGTTTTAAGATGCACCGTTCGTTAGATTTGATACGTTATATAATGCTCAGTGAGACATATGCAAAAATGAAATCCCCAATCGCTACTGCAGTGCAATATCTAAAATATCCACCAAGCTGTACGTATAAGTATAACAAAATAAGTTTCTTGGTAATATTAAAAACAAAATAACATGCGCTGCTGTTTATACCAAACTGTGGCTAAAGATTGACTTAATTTAGTAGCAAAATAAATCGTAAACGAACTCAGTGGTGCCTTATTAAGTGCTAGGGGCTGTGCCACTATGGGGTTCTCCAAATGCTCACCGTATTTCCCCCCAGCGCGCACTCTACAAATTTTGCACGGGAAGGCTCCGCCCGAAGGTCCAACCCTTTTGTATACCACTTTGATAGAACAGGAACCCCTTTAAGGTACCTACCTAAGAACACTGCGACCCTTTTCTAAAGCCTTGGAATGAAGTCAATAAACCATACTACAATACTA